AGAAGAATATTATAATGCACTCCAACAAAACACCTCTAATGCTGAAGGAGTAATTTCGGTATCTCTGTGTCATACAAACACAATAAAATACCTACAGTCTAAAGTCATATGCCTCATTAATCAGCACAGCATTCCAGGCTGAATACTCTTATGTTCCCCCCGCTTCTTGCACCCCCACTCTACCACCCAAATATTCACTTTACACCAGTGCTTTGGATGACTGAGACTTCTTCAGAAAAAGCAATACAAGTTACGTGACCTAAATTAAGTGGAGTCACAATTTGGGTCTGTTAGTCCACATTCCACTACTGATATACCCAGATGTAATGACAGCATAGGGATAATTTCTTAGTCTTTCTTCTCCCACAGTTTTTCAGCAAGGAAGTGAACCAGCATTGGTTTTGCACTGCTAAAAGACCCCAAAGTTAAAACCCAACCTCTTTTTATCACCTTATATCACAGTACAAGCTGGCTTGTACTGGACAATTAATTTGGCTATAAATAAGAAACTTAGCTGGCCCTGGGTTGAGAGAAAAACCAGCCCCTGGGTTGAAAGAAAGGATCCTCAATGAATTCTGTTCCATCCTAAGCTGGAGACATCTCACAGGTCTGGAGCTGGGAGGAGTCAAGGAACAGACCAATGACTGGGTTTTTCAAATCCCTTTTATAAACAGGGCTTCATACAATAAACTTGCTCTTTTGCTACATGGACATTGGGGTGTGTGTTGTCCCTGGCTCCAACCACCGACCCCACAAAACACATGGATATTAACTATAATATCCTTTCACTCCAGGAAGCTGTGTATCCGAGGTTTGCCGAGCCAGCAGCCAAACCTGGAGAAAGTAGGTCATTTGAGCCAGCACATTCCAAGGGGGACCTTAGCATGGCAGCTCTGCCCAAATCCCATTTCACATAGCCTGGGAAATCAGTTATGCCCACAGGTGAAACACTGAAGCTTCAGTCACCACATTAGGTCACTCCCTAGAACTCTGCATTCCTGGTGTAAACACCCTGAGCCCTTGGAACCCAAGAGCAACACGTCAGAGAACATGGAAATTACAGGAGGTAAGCAAGGGCAGGCAAGAATTATTTGCTAGGTTTCCAGGGTACTTGTGTGCCTTGCTGGCTGTTCTGCAAGTCTGCAGTATCCTGCATGTTTTGTCTCGAGGCAGCTGATTGCTGACTCAGATGCTCTGTGAATTCCTTGGCTTCAGAGCTGGGTGAGACAAAGCCCATGGAAAAACGCATGCAAGAACAGTGCTCACGTTGCTATTTACAATAATAGCAGGAGGTTGTCACCGACTCATGGCTCCAAGTCCCCTCAGGATCTCCAGTACTTACCCAGGACAAAAGAAACCAAAGGAAAACAGAGATGCAGGCAGTGAATAATTCCAGGTGGTGGTTCCTTCCCACAGTCACCACAGATGCAGGAATATGAATATTTTATCAAATGCATACACGAGAAAGAAAGCCCAGTGCCCTACTTCTGCCAAAGGCAAGAGATAAGAGAAGATTTTGCAAATTCTACACATAATGAATTCGGTTGTACAAATTGAAGTTCTGCAGCAAGTGTTGCAAATGCAGGGCTTATACATTTCAGGCAAATAAATCCCCATTATATGAGTCACCACCCACTCTACATTTCCATCCTAATTTTGTTCAAAGTGTTCATTCAAGCAATGACAGGAGACGGGGGAAAAAAATATTACAGGAATGTATTTTTCAGTCATCTCTCTTTTCCCATCAGAAATTATTGAGTTAATTCTATCTATATTCACAGCTTGTTCTCTTTACCTTAAATCAGGAGTGAATAAAACATCTGCGAAAGTAACTGCCCAGCTGCACTTCTGAGTGCTGAGTTTGTCTGAGCACCATGTAAGTGCTTTCTGACATTTGAGTTATTTCACAGCCAGACCAATACCACAGATGCACCCTTGACAGAGAAACCTCTGAGATGTCAGGCATCAAGAAGAAGTGATAATACTGTATGGAATTTGAAAGCAAACTGATCCATGATCATAAAACTACTCTCCAGCAACATTCCCTATGCCCTTGCCCCCCTTTCATGGCTCCTTCTGTAGCTTGTGCCTGAACAAGGCTCAGTAACATGCCCTGCAAACTCCAAGATAATTGCAGTACCCAGGCAGCCAGGACACACTTGCAACTTGGCTAGCAATAGCCTAAACACAGATTACAGTTAAGCTTATGCTACAGACAGTAGGAACACCTATATTTGTCCCTCTCGTCCACCCAGCATCCAGTTTTCTTGTAGGAAACCAATTACTTTTGAGACTCATTCTTTGTTGAATCTGGATGAAATTGTTCAAAAGTTATTAAGGATGAACTGAAAAGCAGATGAACAAATTGCTCGATCCCGTAAGCCTCCCTTCTTTAGGAAGCCAAACACAAAAAATCTTTATTCCTACAAATGAAAAAGCTCTGTTTTAATTTCTAAGATTTACATTCTTTTACTTTCAGCTGAAACTGAAAAAATTGATTTTCTACAATATGTTCATGACTTTCTAAGTGATCACAGGTATCAAAAAGTGCAGCTTCAGGGCAGTGGTAAGACTGTGGAACAGATGGCAAAAGGAGGACAATTTTGACAAGAAAAGCTAAAGCCAAAACTGGCAACTATGTTAGCTCCATATTACGCAGACCAAGAAGGGGAAAGCAGGAGGACAAAGGCGTGGTTGCCATTGTTTGTAGCTTCCCTTTTACACCAGATGGAAAAGGGGCACATTCTGCACTGTCCACAGCATGTTTTAAAATGGGATTTAGATCTGTTACTGTTCAAAACAT